CATGGGTTTAATATCATGAGAAGTATAAACGATTCGACACAGCTTCTCTTGATGCGCTCACAAACACCAAACTGCAACATCATCACCGCCAATGCCCCGGGGGGGGGGGGAAAGAAAAGAAAAGAAGAGAAGAAAAAAAAAGAGAAAAGAAGAAAAAAAAGCATGCTACACTCACCATAGTGATTCGCACACCCAGGTAATAGCGCAAACGACTTCTTAAACCCCCTCTTTACCGGATGATGTTCCGGCTGGACGCCCAAATGCCACTTTCCCGCCATCAGCGTGAGATACCCCCCTTCCGCTTGCAGGATCTCGGGCAGGGCCACCACGCGGTCGTTGAGATACCCCTCGTGGCCTCTCTGGCCGCGGTGGGCCGGCGAGCTGCGCGTGAATTCGTACAGCTGGCCCAGTCCCGCAATGTGGTGGTCGGTGCCGGTCATGAGCATCGAGCGGGTTGGAGAGCAGGCTGCTGCTACGTGGAACTCGGTGAAGCGGAGGGAGGGAGGAGTGGGCTGGGAAGATGTGGTGGCCGTGGCTGTGGCCGGATTGCTGCTGCTGTCTTTTTCATGGTCATGATGAGGAGGAGGAGAATGATAGCGGTGGCGGTGGTTCTGGTAAGCGAGGGAGTCGATGTTTGGTGTTTGGATCTCGGAGCCGTAGCAGCTGCAGTCGCTGAAGCCGAGGTCGTCGGCGACTATGACGAGGAAGTTGGGGCGTTTGCGAGGTGGCATTATCTCTGTCGTCCTCGACGGTCTCGGCTTTCAACAGTTGTGGTCATGCAGAGGACTCAGCAGCCAATCTTGACTTCAAAGGGAGTGAGTGAGTCTTGATACTCAAACTACAAGACTCAAATGAAGCCGTTCAGTACCTGGTCATACACAGCAAAGACGAGATCAAAAGGCATGATATTGAATTAGCCACAGCATGTAAATTCACGGTCGTCAAGAACGAGAAGCGTATCCATCTGTACGCATACTGTACCCCTCATCACGTCATGAGAGAACTGATAAGTTCTGCGAGAGAGTGGATACGATATGTCTTTATAATGCGCATGAGGCTCGGGGTTTTGGGTGGTACAGACATTAGCATGTAAAGATCTTTGGTTTGTCCTACACTGAGAGGGATTATTCAATAACTACTTAGTTGAGTGCGGTTGAGGAGTCAATATACCACATTAGTTCCAACAAGTAGATTCGATGAGATATCATTGCTTTCAAAGGTCATGCTACTCCTGAACTATAACTCCGGTGTACGATAGTAATGAGCCAGTCAATGGGTTGAATCAGACCTCAATTGAACGCTATCCAACAGTCATTAATGTCTATCGTCTCTGGGTATCGAAATTCTAGTCTATGCAAATAACGCCACCTCTACACCGCGTCTACATCGTCAAATCCTCCGCGGTTTCTGCTCATGCTCTGCCGTATTTCTGCGTCCTCCTGCTGCTTCTTTGCATTATCCCAACCGGGCAGCTTCACCGCATGGTCCAATGCAACAGGCAACCCTCGATGCCTTCCTCTAATCATCATGACCACCATGATGAACTTGCTCCCCGTGTACCATCCGCCTGCAAAGCTGTACGAGTCGTCCGGCACACCCAGCGATAATCCAATGTTTGTGTACCCCGACACAATCTCAAACAGAAAGCTAAACACGCGGTACGTCTGCGGATCCTGCAGCGTATGCAGCGTCTCGACGATAGTGATGGCGAAAAAGGCGAGAGCAATGCACCAGATGTCGTGCGAGAGCTGGCTGCGCAGGTGCTGCGTAACGAGGCTCACTTGGCCACCGCCTTGTTCCACTGCTGCTGCCGGCGCGCCCAGCTTCAACTCTCGGTTGGCATCGAAGGAGATGACCTGGGCGCGGCGCAGGTGTGGTTTACTCGCGGCGGGCGCCACGCCCACGCCCTGGAAGTTGTTGACGCGCCGCTGAATCTGCTTGCCGATAAAGGCGGTGCCACGGCGGCCCACAGCGGAGAGCTTCTTGATGGAGCGAGTGGAAAAGTGCGTGGCGGCTTGGGAGACTTCGGAGATGGACATGGGCCGGGAGAGGCCCATTGTGGGCGACATGAGCTGGTCGAGCGACGAGTTGTTGTCGGGATCGGATGCGTCAGAGTCGTCGTTGCTAACATATATCCCGAGGGAACGTTCTTCGTAGACCTTGTGTTTTGATTGGTGTTAACTATAGTGTGTGCAAGCCTTTTGGCGTCGCATCTCGAGAGGTTGGCGCGGCGCAGGAGAGAGACCCAAGGACTTACGTTGGAGTTGCGCATCACGATGATCTCTGGATAAGCAGAAACTTACATCATGATGACCCAGAGAACGAGAACGTCAAAGTACAGGCCCGAGGCTGACACAACCGTGTAGCCACCAGACGGAATTGTTGTCGTGCAGAAGATCACAGGTCAGTAACGGATCAACAAGTCACACTCACAGCATCCAACTATCCTGCAAAGAACGGGCACTCACTCAAGCTCTGAAAAAGAGACAACCCAACCCTTTGCCCGACAGGAAACGCGTCCAGGACTGAATTCCCAATGTTAAGCACCAGGATCATGGTCCAGTTCACAACTCCCAGTGTACTGCAAATAGCAACAAAGATCCAGTTCGCCCGGGCTGGGAACATCATCATGTAAAGTCGACGCGGATACTTGAGAATAAACTCAAATGCTTCCTTCCAAGTCGTGTACTCGTCCTCCTTTGTCGCATACTTCAACACACAGCTCGTGAAGAACACGGCCGCACGCAAAAAAAGCAGGAAAGGCATAGTTGCCCGCAAGCGCGAGGATCGTCACGATCGTCAACACGAACGCACCGTTCGTGTACGCGGTAATGCCAGCGTCCAAGAGCGTCATGCCCGCGTTGTTGAACGACGAGATGGCGAGGAAGATGCCCGTCCACCACGGATTCTGCCCGTTGGCTTCCGCTGCTGCACGGGCAGCGCTGTTGGTCGACATCCAGGCGCCGAGCGCAATGCATCCCAACACTTGGAAGGCGACAAAGTAAAAGGCCACAATGGCAAACAGGATGCGCAGGGAGCGATATTCCACGCCTCCAAGATACTCGCGCTCTTCGTCAGTAAGGTCAAAGAACTGGCCGTTGCGGCCAATCGACTTCTTCTTGGCCCGGATAAATGTCTTGAAGTCAAAATCGTCGCCACCTACTCCTCCTCCAGCTGTTGCGCCGCCGTCTGTTCCTAGGCGTGCGCTGTTGCGGCTCATGGGCCGTCTTCGGGTCGAGGCTTGTGAGTATGCGCTGTGAGGGCGATAGGCGTTATGAGCATCGCCGACGGTGAGCAGCACTGACTCCTGGATTGGTTGGAGCTGGTCGTTGGTGCTGCTATTGTTATTTTCGCTTTCTTTGTTGTCCTCCAATTGCTCGATAGAGTCAGTGGCAACAGCAGCAGCAGACGCCTTCTCTCTGCCACCACCACCACCACCACCAAGCTGCAACGCATCCTCTTCAGCTCGTTGCGTGTGCACAAGCGTGTTGGCACGAGGAACAACAGCAGGGTTGTAAAGAGGCGGAGGAGCAAAGGCGCCTCGCAGCGGATTCCTGCCTCTGCCCTTTCCAAAGGCCGACATGACCGGTGCGCCAAACATGGATCCCGTCATGCCCATGATGGCACCCAATGTTTGAAACCGCCGATTGCGCTCCATCTCGACAATGTCCTCGAAACGCTGCTCAAAGATGTGCGCACGGAACCAGATGGTGAACAGCGAGATGAGCACAGGGCTGCCGAGTACCATCATGAGCGCCAGAATGACCTGCTGGCCGACCGCGAGCTGGCTCAGGTTGACCGTGTTGAGTCCTGAGGATGTAAAAGCCGACTCGACCAGGAAGAGGCTGTCAATGAAGCTCACGCTGCGGCTCGGATGCGAGGCAGCCCAGAAGATGACGGCGAAAATGAGGCCAATAAGGATGAAGTAGGCGTGATGCATGGTGATGAAGTTGACCGGCGGCAGGTAGGGCCGTATGGATGATCCAAAGTCTGCCATCTTGTCTTTGAGTCTGTAGTATCGGGTCTTGAGACCCGTCACTCTTGGTGACTCCATGGCCTTCACGGTTCTTGGAATATCGATGCAACCAATTGATGGGTTCACACCACTGAAATCAATTTCATTGGGCAGACGGCATCTTTGAACAACACCCGCGTGGTCAATAATGAGGACTCAGATGAGAAGCTATGGCCAACAACGAGAAAAGAATGGGAAAAGATGGCTCTTGTTTTCTAGAATCAACGGATGGCAGTTGGGAAATCTTTCACTCCTACGACCTCTCCTTGCTGTCCGATGCCAAGTGCCAACACCACAAAAAGGATTCGCCCCGACCAGGTTGTGGTTGGCCTCTCAGCGCAGCTCTGGTATCAGCGCTCCAGGGGGGGCGGCGTCCAGTGTACTGTCGAAGCACAATATCGAAGGATGGGATTTTGTTCCACGCCGCCAGCGGATTGGACCCGGCCCACTCGATCGTTGAGTTGACACCTCACCCCTTTCAGGCCAGGGTGACTGTGACAACCGGGGTCTCGTTCGAGGTTAGATTTGCTTGTGTGTTTTGCAAGCGCCTTTCAAGAGTCGACCCCAGCATCCAGCATGTGAGTCTATCAGTACATGGTGATATACAGGATTCAGAGTGCGTAAGTGATATCCTCACAGCACTTCAAGATAGCACAGATCTGTAAAGTTAGGGAAGATGTATTAATACTACTTCTTCGAGCCTTGTATTAGCAGTCACTTAGACAAAGACTCTCCGCAAAAGGACAAAGCTGTATGAGTTGAGCGTCCATAGCAGCACACGTTGGTAACAGTTGCCATAGGAAGAGATACATACAAGACGCCTTCTTGGCCCTATATAGCCGTCCCACGAAGGCAATCTAAAGCATTGCATTTTTTTTTGGGGGGCATTTTTTTTGTTGCATTTTTTGCACTTTTTGCATTGGGGGGGGGGGTTGAAGAGACATCAACATCGCTTGCGGAACCCAAAAGAAAATGTCCAAAATGATGCGCAAACCCGGAATCGAACCGGGGGCCCATCGAGGATCATTGGGAAGCCTGTATATATGCAGACGAACAATGGCAACGATGGATTTTACCACTAAACCATTTGCGCTTTGAACTTGGACGAAACTTGCAACATTATCATCTATTATAAGCAGATTTGTTATCCAAGATAGCCTTTGCGAGTCGGCATATCATTTGTTGTTCTTAGGTAGAAGGATATAATTAGCTTATTCTTTTCGAGAACTGGGTTCTATGGAGGGCGAGGATTACAAATGACTTATGCGTATGAAAACTATGCAATGAAATTACATACGTACAGAAAGAGTGAATTCGTAATCTGGAGCACAAGGTAAAGCCGCGCCTTTGATCCGCCTGGATATATAATTAGGAGAATCCGTTCTATGAGCGTTGTCGCAGTGCAAAAGGTATTCTCTATATATTTCGAAGCATTTTCGTTGATTATCAAGCTCGAAGTGTCCTTGTCATAGATGACGAATCTTCATCGTTGAATTATGGAGTAACTCATGAGCAGTACTGTGGCCAAGTCGTGTCACCAAAAATCTAAAGCTGCAAACCTTCCTTGACCCTCACATCACGATGTCGACCGCTCCTCCATTTTAGCTAGCAGACATCAACGAGTTATCCGTCAATTCGAGGGTCTCATCACGCCCAAGGCTTGAAAGAAGACACCCTGACCTTCCATTGGTGGTGAAAAGCACCCTGGCCCTATTCTCTTGCAAAACTGCTAGTAAACTTTGTAGGGGGCCGTCCGTCTCTTTTGCGTCAAGCCAGTGAAGGCCGTCAACCACGCAGAAGACAATGTCAGGAATGATGCTTATCACATCTCGGAGAAGCTCTATTGCATCTGACACGGTAGTCATTGAGCCGTTGAATTTGCCGAATCGTCTCTGACAAATCGACTGCTGTGTCTAGACGAGGCGGCAAGACCTCAATCAGTTGTCTCAACAAAGCGTTTATTAGTCCGAAAGAGGCTCTTTCTTCGGTAGTAAGTTGGCCAATGGCACTAGGAGGAAGTTTGCAGTGGTACGAGACCACAGTGAGCTGTTGACTGGCAGCCAAATCGACGACTTTTGCTGCGCCGGTAGTCAGAGGATTTTCAAATTCGTCATAATCATGAGGTGGCCCTTCAAGCCACAAAATCGAAGCAAAGTGCCCTTTTGACCATTCTTGCAGCCGCCCAACGACTTGAAAGTCAAGTACTGGAGTGCAAAAGATATCTGTAGGTAGACGAACGCGGTCTCGCGAAAAGAATTCTTCGAGATGCTTCGAGCTGAGGACGATATCTTCCGGTGCTTTAAGATTGTCAGTGTGGGCATTGCGTAGGTAATTTTAGTCGTTACAATACTTGCTTCATGCAGAGTACAGACCTTGAATATTTTGTTCGAGACCAGAAAGTAGCTCAGTCCGATCTTCAGGTAGTCCTGGCGAGACTGTCGAATTGAGCCATGTTGTCGCATGAGCCTCAAGGAAGATGACCAGAGACCTGCCCAGGTGGTTGATACGACTAAATTCAAGACGCTTTTCTTCTTCAGCTTTTGCCAAACGATTGTCGATCCTTTCTGCGATCAGGCTCACTTCGACCTTATGTCTCCGTTGATCATTGAGGCCAAGTCGAATGTCACGACTCAGGCTCTCGGCGACCAGGCTGGTGACTCTCGTCTCTGCCTTGGAGCTTGAGAAGCCAGTATGCAGATTTTCTCCGTCTTTTGGGTGATTTTCTTGAGCTGACTTTCGAACCGTTGATTGAAGCTTTCATTCAAAGAATTCATGAGTCGTCTAAGTCGTTTGCTCATAATCCAGTCCATGACTCCATTCAGGAAAAGGAATATGTGACTATAGAGATCTGTTATGAGACGTTTCATATCTTCAGTATCAAAGAGTCTGGAGTCTTTAGCTGTCTCTTCGATCTGTTCACTGATCAGACAATCAGATCGTACTTGCAATACGTGCCAGAAGAATTCTCTCGAAAGCTCTCGGCGAGTTGAGTCTCCATTCGATGACTACAATTCCATTGTGCCTCACAGCACTCACTACAAGAGTTTAACTCGTCACATGTACCTTCTGTGCCCATCAAGCATGTACAGCTTCGTTTTCAAGTTGCGTGTATGGGGTAAGTCCAGTTCTTGGTGCAATATTCACATTAGAACGTGTGGCTGACCCTCCATAGAGAATCTACACATGAAAGACTTACACGATCCCATTTTTCACGAAGCAGATGTATTTATGCAAAGAATGGACTCATCAAATCTGCACAGAAACAGCTTGGTCGCCGGTGAGCATGGCCCATGGATCGTCTCCATTTGCATAACTTCTCGCTGATTTCGAATTAAGGTTTCCTTCGTGCCCTAGAATTCTACGATGGCATTTTATTTCTTATTACTAATCGAGTTGGGGCTTTTGATGTAAGCCTTCCTTGAGCTGTTGAAGAATGGTCTAGAATGTAGTATGGCAGACGAATGCTAATATCACCCGCAGGACGCTTCATCTCTCGAATCCACGTGCAGCTTTTCTGTAATGAGTTCTCGGGTGACGAACGACAACAGGTGTGGTCATTATTCATGCAGAAGCTCACCAAAGATCGGGGACGGTATATACGCATTACCATGGATGCCAAGGACTACATCAACGGCCAAGCTGTGCGTGCAGTCAGATGGAACGGGCGGGAAATCCGTAATGGTAAGACCAAAATTGATCGTTCTAAAAGTTCTGCGATATTCTTGATAACTAGTGAGACTAATCAAAAGAATCAACAGCTTTTCAGACAGCAGTATCGCTGGCAGAGTACAAGGACCAAAGGGACGAGGAGGGCAGAATTAAGTTGACAGATGAACACCTGAGAGCAGTTGTGCATACTTCCCAAGATTTCAAGGATTATCTCAAGGACTTACACAAGGCTGATGAGGATAAGCGAGCCCTGCGGAGATATGAGAGACTGGATACATAGATATGGGGAGTATATCTGGTTGGGTGGTTTGTTCATGAATGCGATTACGAGTTGATAGTCTGAATAGCCTCTTGACGGAAAAACGAGCATTACGTCTTTTTCATTTCTTCCAAATCCAAGATTTTCTAAATCCAAGACTTTCTAAATCTGAGGTTTTCTAGAAGCTCCCTCGGGGGATTTTGTTGGCTTCTTGATTCCTGCTACCCTGGATCGAGATGCCATATATAGAGCTTTTATACATGCGACTACATCATTTGAAACTTCATGATTGTAGCTCCATTCACGAATTACAACTGCAGATACACAGAACCATCCGATCCAGGTATCATGCCACAACGGGATATCGACTTGCGGGCTTGGTTCAAGTATCCTGAGCTCGACCGAACGCGATTGGACGTAAGCCCTTTGCGCATCAACGTCAATGTGTTGCCAGCTGCGAGCGACCGCAAAGGCAGTCTTTGAAATGAGGATAATCAGATTGCAATGTTCAGAACCACAAGTCATGAGAGCACTCGTCACGAAGATGATTACCATGTTAAAGTCTAGACGGCGTTACTTGATGCGTGCTGGCCCCGCAGACGTTGCATGGGAAGTGATCCTGCCTAAGTAGCTACATATGTATGGTCAGCCCCTCTTTTGCTTATTATCTTTTGTCTGTCTGTTTGTGTGTCTGTGTTCGAGTGTGTGTGGTGTGTACATGTGATGTGCTGATGTATCTTCATGTATCTGTACATGAGGGCGTACTAGTGATTTATATGTGACCTTCTCTGCCTGCTATTGAGGACTTGAAGGTCCGTTACGCCTGGGCTTTCTACACGCTTCCTCTGCTTTGTACCTCGGTTCTAGATGCAGCTTTCACCTCCGCCACCACACTGTCATCACCATGGCCAATAGTTCTGACACGCACAAAGAAAGCAACTCAGCAGATGTTGCCTCCCAAACTCATGCAGCCACCCAAGAGATCCATGATGGCAGTGGCTTGACGCCGCAGCCAACATCATCATGCTCGCACCATGGGCGCCCTTTACCTCCCTCGTGGGTCGCTCTGTATCCGAAGCCCAAGGGCACGCCTACGAAGCGCCTACGCATCGTGACCATTGGTGCTGGTCTGTCAGCACTCGGCTTCGCGTACCAACTCCAGCACGCATACGGTCTCACCGAGGGCGGTTCTGGTGGTCTCACTGACGGCGAGGAGGCGTCCGAGGCTTTCGCGGAGCATTGTATCTACGAGGCCAATTCAGATATCGGTGGAACCTGGCTGGTCAACACGTATCCGGGAGTTGCGTGTGATTTCCCAGCGCACGTTTATACTTTTCCTTTTGAGGTAAGCCCGAGCCCGAAAATGTGGTCAGAAAAGAGCTGGAGTGGCTCGTTGCCATGACATATGCTAACTGGCGATTTCGTCGACTTTCTTGTAACAGCCCAACCCGAATTGGAGCTCCTATTACGCGTCTGGGCCTGAAATACAGGCGTACATCAAGCGCACGGTGGCCAAGTACCACCTGGATCGCGACGTCAAATTGCAGCACCGGGTCGAGCACGCTCGCTTCGATGAAGCAGAAGGGCGATGGTATCTCAAGATCCGGCGGGGCCTCGAGCACGGCCTTGTGGATGATGTCTGCGATGTGCTTGTCTCAGCCACAGGGTTCCTGTCTCGCTGGTGCTGGCCATCCATCCCAGGCCTGGTGGACGACTATAAAGGCCACCGTGTGCACACTGCCGCCTGGAAGGACGCAGGCGAGTTTGACTACGCAGGCAAGCGCATCGGCGTGATTGGGAATGGTAGCTCAGCGATCCAAGTCTTGCCGCAGCTTGCGCCGCAGGCGGGCCATCTGATCAACTTCATTCGCAACCCCTCGTGGATTACGCCGGGTTTTGGCTCTGTTGCGATTCAACACGCTGACAACTACCTCTACACGGAGGAAGAGAAACAGGCATTTGCACGGGATCCAGAGAAGCTCAAGCAGTATCGCAAGAGTATCCAGGCGGGCGCCAACGGGGCATTTGGCCTGTTTGAAAAGGGCGGCAAGGCGCAAGAGGACGCACAACGAGCAACGGCAGAGCTGATGCTTGCGCGATTGGGCGGCGATGAGGAGCTGGCGCGCAGGATGATTCCTTCGTTTGACATTGGTTGCCGCAGAGCA